GGGATATGTAAGTAGCCTCGGTTTGGGGTGGAACCTAAGGTGGGCGTTAGGGATGCACAGGCAGCCCATTGGTCCTAGGTTTCGTGCCATAGGCAAATTCCCAGGGGCAAGAAGATGATGTCACAGGTAAATTCCCAGGGGTGGGGGGGGATAGGGGCTTCCTGGTTCCAGTTGAGGCTTTCCTGGCTACAGAGTCCTGTCTGGGCTAAAACCCTTTCATGTATCAGTTTTGTTTTACCCTCTAATCTATTCCACTAGTATTCACAAGATTCCATTTATTGATACTGGTTTTGATTTGCATATAATACAGAATTCCATTGAGTTAGGATGAAATTTTGGTTTATATGCAACCAAAAATCTGTAATTCTAAACTATATTCAGTAGGTCTCAACCAATTCATACTTATTTGGGTTTAAAATTTGTCATAAGAGCTCTAGTACTGCAATATACTGTTGTGTTTCACCTGATAGCCCTTTAAAGTGGTTGTAGTCTAAAGCAACTAGATGCTTGTTTTGTTTGGCTGATTTTGCTGACCTGGGCCAGAGGTCTGAGCATCTCTTGGGAGGATGACAGTATGCAATATAGCAAATAGGGGGGATTTCCTTCTGTCTTCTCTTTGAAGGCAATACTTTTTTTCACTGTTTTGCTTTTTTCTGATTAATTATTTTTCTCTCTTTAATATTCTGCTTTGATATGTTCTGTTTTTGGTTTGATTTTGCTATACCTGATGGAATGGACAACTATTGTGAAGATAACGAGACATACTATGGTACCTATTACTGTTATCCCGGTATCCTGCTCTGAAGTTTTATACCAATTTCACAGCATTGTCTCGATTGGCTTTGTTCTGTCTTATTCTGTTGTATTTTACCACCTTCAAAATAAAAATTTTTTAAAAAGTGGTTCTAGTCAAGCTAATTAGCAAACGTCCTACAGGCTTGGCTTAAGTAAAGTCAGGTACTGCATAGCAGTGTTTTTCCATGTGTATATTTGTTCCCAGAATATCATAATGGAATGAAAAATCCCTAGGACCGCGTGGTACAGCCGCCATAGAGCTGGTGCACAGCACACTACTCACATGTTGCTGTAACCCTGGTGTAAACAAACCCACAGAACCACTAGTGTTATAAAAGCATACTTTATGCAGCTATGTACAGTACGGAACAGTGTTAACTCAATCACAGAGTTAATTCACTCCACGATTCTGGGAAAGGTGGCTGAATTTGTGTTCATGCAGGGAAGATGGCCATGGTCATGTTCATCACCCAATGGGGAGTTTGTAAAAGGAAGCAATATTTTGCAGAATGCTTCTCTTTGTGAACTGAATTGTTTGCAAACAGAACAGTTTGTGAGCAAGGTATTATTTGCTTAATAATAAAGAAGTAACTGGATTATTATTTAATGTTATACTTTTAGCTTAGAGTCTATATATTTTAAAAACTATAAAACAACCTCAGACAGGTCCTTCATAAAGGATCTAAAAACAGGCATTGTTGGTCATAGGAAATGACACCACCACACATGCTTCTGCCCCTAAAGACCTTCAGGGACACAAGAGGGCAAGACGTGGAATTTGAAGAGAATGATATTAGTGATCCTGACCCTGTTAAGCCAAGATTCATGTGTGTACAATGTTTTAGTTTTTTACAACAAAAATTTTTTTGCAAAAATGAGTAACTTTTTTCATTTTTATCGGTACCGGGGATCGAACTCACGACCGCCTGCTTGCAAGGGCAAAAATGAGTAACTGACTTAAAAGAAGAATAAGGCTTACAAGATATGGATTTAGAAAAAAAAATTTTTATACAGCTGTTCAATAGTGTTTCTTTTAAAGTGAATCTGAATAAAAAGGCATCAAACAATTTTAAAAATTAAAAAATTTCTGAAGTAAAGAGTTACAATAAACAGGTTAATTGATTGTTGAAGAAGGAAATTTTTCTTATAAATGTAGTGCACCCTGAGCGTGCAGGGTTATAGAGTTATAAAATCCACAGAAGTGTACAGTAACGTCTAGGCCTTCGCATTCACCCCACACCCTTTGACTCACCCAGAGCAAATTCCAGGCCTGCCAGTTCCATTCATCGGTTGCCTATGTAAGTGCCCCATTTTTAATCATGTATAATTTTCATTCATTCATTCGTTCATTCATTCGTTCACTTATGGAGATCTAACTGAAATTGTCACACACACTAAATAAAATCTCCGCTAATGAACTATATACCCAGTCCACTACCTTTGCTGTAAATTTTCTGTGCATAGACACACAAACACCTACCCACTGGGTCACAAGTGCCGTCAGCATTCCATACAGGGGGAACCTGTGTGAGTCTGTAGCTTAAGAGCAGTGGCTGTACCAAATAGCGAAGCTGCATAGTAGACCAGAATCTAGGTTAGTGTGGGTACCCTCTGAGAGGGTTTCACAATGACAAAATCACCTACTGAGATATTTCAGAATATATTCCTGTTGTTAAATGATGCACGACTATGTAATGAGACTAAATTATTCCTTAGTTTAAATTCAGTGCATATCATTTTGGTGTAGCCTTTCCCAACTAATCGCCTCACTAAAAAATTCCCCATATGAAACCAATTCATACCAGGTATAATGGTGCACACCTGTAACCCCCACACTTGGGAGGCCATGGCAGGAAGATCACTGCAAGTTCGAGGTCAGTCTGAGCTGCAAGGTAAGTTCAAGGCCAGCCTGAACTGCACAGTGAAATCCTGTGTCAAAAAGACAAAACACATACATACATACACTCACACACACACACACACCCCACAATTCACAACAGGTAGAGTTCTAGATCCATAGAACTCCAAGACCTCTTGACCATTTCTTCTCTTTCAACCAATCATGGTGCTTAAAATCCATAATTAAAGACTGACCACTTGATGTTTTATTTCTACTATTTTCTAGTACTATCTTCTTGTAAATTGAAAATGGTGGTAAGAAAAATAGGTCATTCACTCATTCATTTGTCTACATACTAAACAAGTATTTGGTGTTATGTTATATATACCTTCTTTGTAGAATTCAGAGTAATTTAAGAATGGTAGTGTCCACAACCCTGACCTTGCTACCTGATATAGTTCTCAAGTTAGGATTGTCAACTAAAATAGTAGAGAGTCACAGGTCTCAACCAGCACCAAGCTTTAATAATTTCAGGAAAGAGGTCGTTGGGAGCCGCAGAAGCAAGGAGAGGACTCTAACACTCTGGGGTCTTTCCTATCTGGGATCTTTCCCGTCTGGGGTCTTTCCTGCCATGTGTTGATGTGGTCCTGCCCTGGCCACATCAACATGTGTAATCTCTAAGCAACATGAGAGGTGAACCTCTCACATACACACCTCGGGCATATTTTGCATCCTATACCCAGAAAGTTACAGGACATGTGTGACATTTCCTGGAAGGTAATGCTCCATACACCTATGGATTTATGTATCACAAGAAATCCTGCACAAATACACACATCCTCAGAACAGTTCAGCTGCTTATGAAGTCTGCTATTAATGTGTTTATGGAAAGATTATAAGAAGCTCTCCTAGGAGGAGAACGCGTGTCAGATCCACTGCTTTGTCAGCTAACTTCCCAGCGCCCAGTGTGACTCAGGCTCTAGAAGAAGATGAGCAGACCTCAGAGAGCTGTAGGATGGATCTGCATGGTGTCAGTCTTGGCAGTTCACACGGGCTCGTACCTCGTCCTTACATGGGAGGTGAGAGAAGGAACACTTCACAGGTGTTTATTTTCCCCTTTATAAGCACTTACTTTTCCAAAGCCAGATCTCTTCAGTGCCAAGCATTTCCTTCCAAAGCTTGGAGTGGACACTGCTTTCGTGGCTGTCGCTGCTGCTACCACTTGCTTCTTGCTTCTATTGCTTCTATTTGCTGATCACTCATTTTGCAGCAGGTGCTGTGATGAACATTTCACATGAACTCTGTTGGAGTATCAGAGTTCTATGAGACGGGCACGTTAATCTTATAAGACTGCTACAGTTTATATCTGATGTCTTTCCAGAGCCTCGAGCACCCACAGGTGGGACTTGGGGAGGTGACTGGATCATGGGGGATCACACTCATCAGGGGATTAGTCTGCTAATGAGTTTACAGCTTAACGTGATGCTGGGAGGTGAAGCCTGGTCGGAGCAGGTGGGTCACTAGGGGTGTGGGCTGCAAGACTTTCTCTCTTCACAGCTTTGTCTGCTTCCTGACTGCCACATCGTTGCTTTTTCCCTTTTCCTGACCCTCCCTGTCATTCTACCCTGCTGTGGAATCAGAAAACTATGGGTTAAAAGCTCTACAAACCCTGAACTAAAATAAAACTTTCCTCCCTTAAATTGTGAGTGTCCTGTTTTGTGTCTCACCATTAAGAAAATAAGAGATAAATACTCACAAGGAGCTGAGGTTTAGAGAAATTATTGTTATGGATTGTATTTATATGCCCCCCGCCCCCTGCAAGCTTCATGCACTTTCAGAACTAGCTGGATTAGGAAGCATGTCACTGGGATTAAGGGTGTGTGGTAGTGTGCTAGGTCATTAACTGATCTGTCATATTTCTGCATATTTCTGCCTCCTTCCTGCTCTTCGGTGGGCTGTTTCTCCCCTGCGATGCCTCTCTGGTGCTGCCCTGCCTAGAAATCAGCTAACTATGGCCTGAAACCTCTACAAATTGTGAGACAAAATAAATCTTTCCTCATTTAACTTGTGAGTGTCTAGCATTTTTGTCTAAGCAACCAGAAAAGTGATGATGACAATTACACATACATTAATTAAATGAGGCAGCCAGACCTCTATCCAGCCAGCCTAAATCTCCACCATGATCCTCTCTCCTACTCAGAGTGCAGGATTAAAGGGTGATTTCCCTTTCTAGACCACCTGTGAGTGGGCAGCGCTCCATTTCCAGTTCCCTTGTCTGAAGAGGACACAGGTTAAGGAGCAGTGGAAACGTAGCACTTATGTGTGCCTGGGGCAGAGATGGTCAATGAAGGTCTCAAAGCACATGTTTTGATCAATAACAAAGATAAACTTTTATTAACATCCATAAAAGTCCCCAGAAATCTCTTATGGCTTCCTTCATTTATGTGTCTCCTGAACTGTAAATTCATTAAGGGACACTGCAGTCCCTGCGGTATTTGAAAGAGCAGATGTCTTGGGAGCTATAGCTGTCTGCACTGAGCAGTTTTCACAGCTATTCAGGGGTATCTCCCATCTGGTGGATGTTAAGACTTTGTCGTACTAATTAGCAAAAGTAGGACTGTTTCATATCCATTCTGAAGAAGAGTGGTATGTCAAAGCATTTCCATGAATTCAGAGCCCTGAGTATTGAACAAACTCATATAGCACTGCAAAGGCCCTTATGGAATTATCCCCAAATTTTGAAGAACAGCATACCAAAGGATTTCTTTTGCAGTTGAATGACATGAGTTTTCCAGAAGTAATAAGAAAAAAACATTTAAATCATATAAATTTTGCAATTAAGTTTCTGTGTTTTCCTTTGTGGTAATAGAGGCAACTTCTGAAACCACATTCAGAAAGAAACTGGATGTGTACATCCAAGACAAAGACCATTTGGACGCACACACATCTGCAGCTCCTGAATGCCTGTTCTGAATTACACTGAGATTGCCTGAAGAGCATTTGGCAAATGGAAATTTCTGACTTGGTTTAAGCTTTTTCCATGGGCAATTTAGGTTTTGTGCTGTTATTGTTATATCTGTTCTTCTGCATTCAAATCTTCTCAACCAGCCTGGAAAAGAAGAAAGAAAACATTGTGTTAAAGGGTTTTTAATGACATAGTAACTCCTCTTGACAAACAGTGGATCCGTTCCATTATCTTATCTGCCAAACAAGAAATATCTTCCAAGAGAATAATATGTGCTTAATCATGAAAGCTTTCAGCTTTGAAAGCTTCAAATGATAGAATCAGCAACAGAAACAAGGACTCTATACTCCCAAATTAGATGTGTTCTTTTGATTCCCTTGCAGTAACATCTGTGGTAATAATACTCCTTTCTGGGAATTACTACTATGTTCTCGGCGAGCTGTGCCAATTTTGCCTGGCTTCTTGTGTGAAAAATCAGAGACTTACCTAGTCCAGCACTGCTTTACCTCCCACCAGTTGCTCTTTGGCTTGGCTTCCTGACTAGAAGTTCAGAGACACTCCTGTGAGTTATGATGTTAGAATAAAGGTCTTCTCTTTTCTGTACAGTTGGACCACTGGATATGTGGATTCTGTTTCTGTGGAATCAATAAATTACAAGTTAAAAGTATTCAGAGAGAACATTGTACTTGTATTGAACAGGTACAGACTTTCTGCCTTATTAAAACAAGTATTTACCTTGTCTTAGGTATTATGAGTCATGTAGAAATGATTTAATGCATGTAAGAGGATTATGTAGGTTAATGAAAATACCAACTCATTTTATATAAGACACTTGAGTATGTGCAAATTTTGGTGTCTGTAGGGGATCCTAGAACTGGTCCCTGCAGATATAAAGAAGCAAACACAGCCTCCTCAAGAGTAACTCTGCTCTCAGTTGAAATGAGAAAACCAACTCCAGTAAAGCCATCATTGTTTATGTTTCCTTGAGAATTACACAATTACAACCAAAAGATAACTTGTGAATACAGAAAATACACCCATTAAGAATTGACCGTCCTGCCTTAAGACAATTTTAAAAGTAAACTTTTCTATCCCGAGGCCAGGTTACTTTGCAGGTGAGAATTCAGGCTGTCTCATTCAAAATCTCGTCCTACTTGTGTGGGCCGTGATCAGAGAAAGCACAAATACTTATCCTGGCTGATCAGCATTTGAGCTGGTATATCTGTAAAAGGTGGTTTGTTGTTTATTATCATCCCCAGGTTTATTTTGACTCACCATTTCAGGAGCTAAAAACCTATTCTATATCTTAAATAAAATATTAGTATTGAAACAGAACTAGAGAATTTTTTCTCACAATGTTATACTTTATCAGTATAGAAATAGAAAAAATAAAGCCTTTAATAAATGATACATCATATATGTCACTTTTTTATGCTTTCATGCACTCATCCACTGTTGGACACCTTGGTTGAGCCATATCTTGGCTGCTGTAGATAGTATTGTAAAACACACAGGAGTGCAGATATCTTTTGGATGCACTGATTTCACTTTCTTTGGGATACATATCCAGTAGCCGGAGAGGTGGATCATATAAAGCTCTCAATTTCATATACTCTAAAAGAATTCATCACTATATGAACAAGCTTAGTACTATAAATGAGAATATTGCAGTGTATTCATGCACCCCTCATTGGTAAGATTAGCTTTAGGTAGTGTTACAAGAAGAAATAATTTTAATAAGAGTTCTGATAGTATATTGGGTTTTTAGATAGTATGCAAAATGTGTAGGTGTTACAGATGTTAGTACAATATATGCTGAAAAAGTGTCCCCTTTACTGGAGAGGTTTTACTTATGAGTAACACATGGTTACTCATGGTTACTCAAATGGCTGGGTGATGGAAATGTTGGTAGTGAGGCTTTGAACAGCTGTGGTAGTGCCTGCAAGTGCCCATTTTATTGGACTGCTTGCCAATCATGATACAGAAATTCTTCCCAAATTTGGGGGTAACTGTATAGCCATTCTAAATGAGCTAAAATACATTTTTGAAGAGCCCAATGATACAAATGCCTTTCACATCTGAATTTTAAAAATCAAAATAAGATTGAAACCCATTAGTATTTTGGAGGAATTTAGATACTGAAAAATCTGACTTGATTGAAAGACAAAGAAAGATGGCAAATGTGAACTTGACTTGATTCCCTGTTTAACTAAGAATACTTGATAGAAATTATATAACTCGTCACATTTTAACAAGGCTAATGTAGCTTACATCAACATTTGCATCTTTCTGCAAGAAGATATTTTGGCAATGTCTCTGTGTTAGTGAGCTTTTTGTACCTGTAACAAAATGCCTCAGATATGGACTTCTAAGAAGGAAAGATTTATTTTGACTCACTGCGTCAGGAGTTGTAGTTCATGACTGTGTGGCCTCATTGCTTTGGGCCTTGGCAAGGCAGAGCATCCCAGTGGGAAGTGCACGACGGAGGAGCAAAGCTACTCACTTTATGACACCCAGAAAGCTAAACAGGAGATAGAAAGGGTGCATGGCCTCAATAATCCTTTCTGGAAATCCTTTCTGGCACCTCAGTACCATAACTTCCTCCACGTGGTCCCACTTCCTCAAGCTTCCACCATCACCCCAAGGCACCACAGACTGACGCTCAAGTCTGTAACACATAGATCTTAAGCGTAGTAACACCGCAGTTATAAGTGTCAACTGAAACTGTTACAGCTGTGTGTCTGCATTTTTCCCAGATGCATAGAAGTTGATCACAATATCCTTAAAACACTGGCTAACCTTCAACGTGATAAGAATGCTACAATTGTCTGGGTGAATCATATTTTGGTACAATTACATTTTGGTCCTGGGAGAGGAATGAGAGAATTCACCAGAAACAAATCCATGTGTGACAACTCCACAGTCAAATAGCCCAACTATGGATGTAGGGTGAGATCAGATCCACTGACTTAGTTACATTACCTCACATGAGAAGCCATCAGACCTGAAAATGATAATCTCCTATTGTTACAAAGTCAAAAAGTGATGCGAACCTTGGTGTCTGTGAAAAAGTGGGATCGTGCCTTTTGAAGACTGAAATCTAATGGCATCTTCCCTTGATAGGATAGGTAGTCAATCAAACACTACCTAAATGCAGCATAGAGAAAAACAAATCAGACTCACCCTAAACTCAGTGTGACTGAATTTCATTGCCCTTCCTGTTTTCTGAGATAAGATCTTGAGAAAAGAATGAGCTACGACTCAAGATAAATTATAATTATTTTGGTAATTTAATAGTAATTGATATACAAATATATTTACTACAGATATTTTTATATATAAAGTATATATATAAATATACACTAATGAATATGTATTCTTTCATCTTCTATTTTACCATTGTGAATGTGTAGTTTAGTCACATTAAATATATATATATATATATATATACACACACACACACACACACACACACACATTGGAGCCAGGCATGATGGCACACACTTGTAATCCCAGAACTCTGGAGGCTGAAGCAGAAGGGATCTCTGTGAATCTGAGGCCATCCTGAGTCCAAAGTGAGTTCTAGGCTATCCTGAATTGCATAGTGAAACCCTTGTCTCAAAAAGACAAATATATATACATATTATGTGTGTGTGTGTGTGTGTGTGTGTGTACACATATAAAATAAGTTGGCTGTGGCTCTAATCAACAGGAAAGAGGATCAAGACATTTCTCCTCAGTGGTAAGTAACTACACAGTTACTTACCAGAACTACATACTTACCAGAATGAGGGTGGTTATCTGCATTAGGATAATCACCTCCCAAGAACTGTCTTATTGCAAAGACTGTTATCAGGGAAAACTCTGAAACAGCAAACAATTGAGAAGGGAGAAGAAATCTAGAGAAGGAGGCTTTCTCCCAAGACCAGTGGCCAAGAGAGAGAAGGACCTCAACAAACACGTGCTGTCTCTAGGATGCAGAAGCTGAATGACCACCAACATCAATTCAGTCATCATCAGCCACAGGGTGGACACGTTGTGATGTCCTGTTTTTAAGTCCTGGTTTCTTATACCACCCAGAGCTTTAAAAACGGACACAATGTGTAGACGTACAGTTCTTTGAAGAGTACTGATCCCATGCCAGAGTGGACTGGTTTGGTGCCAATAGCCAGATCTAGTCCTCCTTGCCCAGGACATATACTAGGTAAACCGTAGTTGTTTGGCTCAAGCATATCTAAGCACAGAGGGAAAAAATTGGAATGTGTTCTGAGAGGAAAATTGTTCCTAGGAAGAAATACTTATGTTCCAAGTCAGCAACCTGTAAGGGTTGTCCTAATCTTGGTTCATAGCTGACATAGTTAGAAATACAAGAATATGAAGGGTAGTACTCCATGGATGTGCTCGGAAGGGACTTCTGTGATCCAAATGACACAGATCGGCAATGGGAATGTGTTCCAGAGGGTGCCTGGATAAGCAAACGCTAGGGTAAATGGTCCTCAGCGCTTGGGAATAAACTGAGATGGAGCTGGAGATGGAGTGCTCACCTGTACTCCCGGTTCCTCGGGAAACTGAAGCAGGAGGATGTGACTCTAGGCCAGCCTGGACAGCTTAGCCACACAATGTCTCAAAAGAAAAAGAAAAAGGCCTGGGGAAGGAGCTCAATAGTAGAGGATCCCTGGGTTCTGTCATTAATCCCATTACCAAAAAAAAAAATCTTTGGTATCTAGGCAAAGTCTCACCATATACCAATAACCTCGCCCCTTGCCTGTAGTTCACTATATTGTGTGCCTTGCTTGTAAATCTGTTTCTGGACCTGACTTTGAGCTTGCTTCGTTGGCAAAGTGACCCCATACACTTCTGCCTCACTTATTCTCCCCACCATCTCCAATTGATTGTTCCAGAATTGGCCAGTAGGAGTGTTCAGTAGGAGATTCAAGGGTAGGACAGAGGGGCCAGTTCTCTGCTCTCTCCTTCTCTCCCTGCTTCAGGGCCTCGCTTCTGCTAGGAGCTCTCATCTCCTGCCAGACCACCCTCTTCCGTGGCTCCAGCTCACATAAACTCTAGTGAAGCTATTGCTCCCTTTTCCCCCATCAGGTTTAAGTGTACAGACAGTAATCGTCCAGCCCAGCGCCCTTGATCACACACACCCCTTTGTAAATGATGCCTTTATTAAAAGAGCCTCAGTTAATTCCGCTGTTCCTTGTTCTGGCATTACAATACACAAAGGAACCTACTTGATCATTCTCAAAGCTTCATATTCCCGAAAGCCCATTCTTGTGTTCAGACCTCTGTATCCATTCAACAAGTAATGACTGAGTGCCCATCATTCAGAGGATGCTCAGTATGTTTTGCAGACAAAACAGCCCTGACCCTCAGAGAGCTCATATTAGTATTCAGAACGTACACAAATAAAAGGACCATTAAAATTTGAGTAAATGACACATCAAAGGTGTCTACTCATACACCAGATATTTCTTCCTATGTCTCACACATGCAGAGCACCCTAGATTTCTCTCAATACACCAATTAAAGACCACTCCTGGGCATTTTCAGCCTGTGTAACTGAATCCAACATCATCATTCCCCCCTCCACAATGCCGTCCTTAGCCCTAGATACCCACAGCATCCCTCTCCACACATCGAATCTTTCTTCCTCAAATTCATGCACCACCCCAGCAGCCTTCCTCACTGACAGTATGTAAATCTGATCCTAAATCTGTTGTGGCCAGTTTTGCATTTGACCCCTTCTCGAATAAGCATGAAATGGATACTTCTTTATACATCTTACCTGCCTATCCAGCCATATTTCACCCAACCCCCAACATTATCACCACCCCCGTTAGCTACCACTTGACCCCTTGTGAAACTAAAATAACTGGCTTCCTGGAAAGTCCATCTGTCTTCTGTGATATCTATGGGCAACATTCTACTTACCAGTCAGATCTTCCTCAAAGGCTGCCGTCTCTGTGAAGTCCTGCTTTCCACGGGTTCCTGTAATTCTATTTCATTCCACGTACTTTTCTCAAAACAGTGCTCCTATTCTAATGTTTACAAATATTTCTCCTTTTGGTGCTGCTCATTCCTTAACCTGGGGAACTATGTATTTTCTTTTGTAAGTCATTGACATTGGCAGTCACTGAACAAGATTAGATAGCTAAGGAAATCAGCAGGGCTGTACGGTGTTCAGATTGCGCTGGCACACTTTGCTTCACTGAGTCCTCCCCAGGAACGCTAGCTAAAACTGACTAACAGGGAGTCGGGTTACTAGGAAGCTTTAGAGTACTAAGAATAACTTCATGGTGAAGAGCACAGACTTGGAGAGCCTGAGGCAGTGATGAACCTTGAGCACAGGAGCCCAGAAAGCTGTTTGCATCCCTGAAAGCCCTAAAAGTTTCACCATCTCTGCTCTGGGGCCTTCCAGTTCAACTATTTTTTAAAAAGACTTCAAGTTACTAACCCTCCTTGAGTCCTAGCTGTTTCATACAGTAACAATAGCAATAGTAATAATAATAGAAGTTTCTCAAAAATTGCTGGGGAATTTAACAAGAAAATACATATTTAGCATAGCAGCTGATATGATGGTAACTCCCAATATATGTCAGCTACTTCTACCCTGTCTTTCATAAACTAACACTGCTAGAAGTATTCCTGCTGACATAGAGACTTACAATCATGTAGTTAATTTATACACCCAAATCGTATTTTCATAATTAGGTGAGGTATCTTTTATCCAAAATGCTTGTGATAGAACTGTTTCAAATTCTGGATTTTTTTTTGAGTTTGCAGTATTTTTACATCCCTAATGAGGTATCTTGATGATGGGGTCCAAATACAAAGACAAAATTCAATTATGTTTTATATAAATTGTATATACATAGTCTGAAGGTAATGCATAAACATTTTTAATAATTTTCACTTAATAGACAAAGTTTTATTGCATGAAATGGTGGTAAATGTTTTGTATCATACTCAAAAAGTTTCAGATTTGAAAGTTTTTCTGATTTCAGATTTTTGGATAAGGGATACTTGGCCGTTGTTATATAACCAGTGTCAGCAGCAATCACCTGGCCTGAGCAGGAGTCCTGCCCCATTTACCTAACACAAATCTGATACACAGTGAGGGAAGGAGGAAAAGAAAGATGACAAAGACAGGGAGAAGGGGAGAAAAAAAGAAGATGGAGAATCAAATGGCTTAAAATAAAAGGGGAGCATCAGTTGCCAGTCCTCTAATCTGCCTTTTAAATATGAAAGGCTTAGTCAAGTAAATAATACATGTGCCTTGGGTTTAACGGTCTCACTGTCGGGGCACACAAATGTGATCAGTCGGTGGGGCACCACTTAGTCCACTGAATTCAAATTGCAAAGCTCTGTGCACTCTCATTTTGTGTAGTTCATGTCATTTTCTGATTGTCAACATTTATTACAGCTATCTTTAGCACCTGTAGCCATTGTAGGGAGAGCCTTTAGTATCTCTATGTGGAAGAAGCAAAATGCAATATGAAAAATTGAGCCATTCTTTTCCTTGAAGATTCGCATTAGGATAGTTAGTGTGCAATTAGAAACTTTATTACCACAGCCTTTGTGCACCTTCATCAAACATACATTAGGAATTTTCTGGAACTTTTTAGAGCCCCTTCACATTTGTCTTTGTCAGTGTAAATGCTTCCATTATACTTACGGTACCGCATAACGATCTTCAGGAAGGTAATGAAAGAAGTGATAGCAACGCCTGACAAACTTCTCATTTAGCTTATGGGTTTCCATTAAACATGCTATTAGAAAGAGAGAAGATGGTTCTAGGAGCAAGTAATGGGCCACAAAGCCTTTCACCTAGGTGTCTGTGGTCCAGCACCTCAATTAGGAAGGCCTAATCACGTGACTATTTTTCAGTAAAAAAGTCGTAATTCCAATAGAGTTCCCAATGGAAAGGCCCAGGCTCTAGATGATCACTTAGAAGAAACAGCACTAGACTGAGTCACAAGATGCATATTAGACTCACTGAGTACGACTATCTCTGTTTCATTTGATTTCCTAGTGGCCTCAATTTTCTCATCTTTCAAAAGAAACACAAAAACATCTTTCACATTTCTGATGCTCCTCAGACTGCTGTGTACATACAGGCAACTATCTAGTATTCTTTTTGTTTTACCTAAAGGATTTCCTTTAACACTTTTTATGGTGTCTCCTACTACACCTCACAAAAGCAAGGTGCTTTTTAAGTGCTCTGAAAATATTGATGGCTATACAAACTGAAATCCTTATAGCAAAATGACTCTGATCTCCACTGGACCCTGAGATATTTGAGTACCTGAGCTGTATCTCACAGGCTGTCATCCAGAGATTCTAAATGCATGTGTGGGACCTATTTTATCTAGTTTTTGCAAACAGAATTGAGTAAAGGGTATATGTGGCTCAAAAAATGATTGGGAAGGCTGAAAAAAACACACTGGAGGCTGAGCTTCTTAGGAATCATTTCCACCACAAAACTATCCACGTCAGCCAACAACATGACTGCTGACTTTCCTACGAACCAATAAGGACTGTAACAGCCAGATACAGTCACATTCTCACTCACAACATAGATACTTCATATTTTGTGTCCCCTGATGGTTTTATCTTTAATCTTTAAATAATAATTGTATCCATTCATGGAGTAAAATGTGGTGTGATGATACGTGTATATATTGCAGAATGATTAAATTAATCTAGTTAATATATCCATCACCTCATATTTATCTTTTTTATGGTAAGAACACTCAAGAGTCCGTTAGCAACTTTACCATAGGCAGTAAGTTTTTATCATGATACCGTAAAACACAGTTGATCTGAGGTGAACTTCCCATGTTTCATGGTTTATGTCTGTGTCCCCCAGGCCTCATGAGTTTGCATTGTGCGTTTGTGATGGTTCATTGTCTAGTGCTTGGATTGATGGTGTCAGTGCTGCACCCACAAAGGGGTGGAGCCAAGATGTAATGTAATAGCAGAAAGAAGGTGTGTCTTGCCTTTTGCTGGTTCCTGCTTGCTGTTTACAGCCACCATGAACTGTGGCTCAGCCATACCCGCCTGCCTTGGAGCCAACTGAGTGTGGACTGAAACCTCCAAACACTGTAAGAAATAAATCTTTCCTTTCTTAACTTGGGCTTTAGGTATTTTGTCTCAGCGATGAGTAAAAAGTAACTAATACACCATGTCTCACTGAAACTTTGCACCCTTTGGCCAAACAACTTCTCCAAACCCTCCTCTACCCATCAGTCTCTGGTAACCATTTATTAACTCTCTATTTCTTTGAGATTGACTTGCTAAAACTCTACAAATAAGTAAGACTATTTAATATTTGTCTAACTGTATCTGGCTTATTTCAATTATATATAATATCCTCCAATTGTATAATGTCCTCCAGGCTCATCCATGTCTTTGCAAGTTACACAACTTTCTTCTTTTTAAAGACTGCACAGGACTCCATCATTTATATATGTCCCACTCCTTATCTATTTACTTGCAAATAGAATTAGGTTGCACCATACATACTGTTGTGACAAATACTGAAATCAGCTCATGTGAGAGAATGACATCTCTTTGAAATGTTGATTTCAATTATTTTGGATATATGCCCAGAAGTGGGGTTGCTGGATCATATAAAGTCCTATTTTAGATTTTCTCAGGAGTCCCTATTCTGTGGTCCATAATGACTGTATCAACTTACATTACTGACAAAATCATATACACTTTTCTCCACATCATCAATACATTTTTATAATAGCCACCCTAGCAAGTATGAAATGATGTCTCACTGTGGCTTTAACTTGAATTTCTCTGATGCTTAGTAATATTGAATATCTTTTTCATATGATTGTCTACCATTTGTACATCTTCTTTTAAGAAATGTTTATTAAGGTCTTTTGCCAAATGTTTATATATGATTTTATGTTTTTTTGCTATTGAATTGAGTTCCTTACATACTTTGAATATTAACACTTTACCAAGTGTACTGTTTGCAAACATTTTCTCCCCACATGTGAATTGCCTCCCCAACCTGCTAAGTGTTTGCGTTTCAGTGCAAAAACGTTTAAATTACTCAGAACATTGATGTGAAAGTTTTATCCTACATCTTTTTCTAGCTGTCTTAATTTTTATTCTTACATACACAGAAAAAAATACATGTGATTTACCTTATAAACAGAAGAAAGGACAATAATCATATGATCATCTCAACTGATACAAAAAAAGAACTTGACAAAATTCAACAACTTTTCATGATACAAAGTAAATAAATTAAGTATGCAGAAAATGTCCCACAACACAGTAGAAATCTTTATGACAAGTCCACAGCTAACATCATTCACACCAATGAAAAGCTGAGAGCTTTTCCTCTAAGATCAAGAACAATACAAAGAAGCCCATTCTTATCACTTCTACTCAACAGACTTCTGTAAATCCCAGTTGGAGCAATTAGGCAAGAAAATGAAATGAAAGGCATCCAAATAAGAAAGCAAAAAGTGGGCCAGGGATTTAGCTTGGTTGCTTAAGTGCCTGCTTGGCAAGCATGAGGTTGTGAGTTCAATCCCCAGTACAAAAAAAAAGCAAGAAAGAAAGAAGAAAGAAAAATGCAAGCAAGTTTCTGCTCATTTTTGACAGACCCTTATATATAAGAAACACTAAAGATGGAACAGATAAATTCAGTAAAGTTGAAAGACACAAAGCAGCTTACAAGATCAGTACAATTTCTATATACTAACAATAAACTATCCAAAAATGATTTCAGAAAAATGTCATTTATAATGTCATGAAAAAATTAAATATTTGTGAATAAATCTAACCAAGGAAGTGAAAGATCTGACACTGAAATCTTCAAACTATTTTGAAAAATAAATAGAATGCAACACAAATAAATAGAAACATATATTATGTTCATGAATTGGAAGAACAAACATTTTAAAGTCTCTCTACCACTCAAAGTAACTTGTTGATTAAGTGTCCTTTGCCAAAGTGTAATCCTTATCACTTCTTTCAATCCAGGGAACTAGGATTCCAGCAGTGAGTTCCTGTGCACTAGCAGCAGGGGCCGGGAGAGTTTAAGATCATCATTCCCAGTGGTTAAGGACCCACCCAGCTTGCAGCCACATTAGACTGGGCTCTGCAGGCTTCTAGCCTCCCTGGGTCATGCCCAGAGACATTCTTTCAATCCAGGGAACTGAGCTGCCAGCATTGAGTTCCTGCACCTGGCAG